GTTTACTTTTCTCAGCAAGGTTCATGGTTCACCCATATTTAAAGTGTAAGAACTTTTTAGGCAGGAGTTGGTGCCAGCTTCTGCCACCATGTCCTGCATACTAGTTGCCGTATTTTCATAAGGTCATGTGCATGAGCCATAAAAAAAAATGTTTGTTAAATGTTTCTGACTGTGGAAAACCCCCCGTTTTTGGCATAAGTGGCCATTTTTGGCATAAGAACAGGTCCAGCTTAGCTGAAAGGAGCTTCTGTATACCTCAAGAGCCATATCATGCTCAATGCATTCTTCAGTAACACCAATAACCACTTTTACCTCCATTTATGAAACATCTTTCGCCTTAACCACTTCTCATCCGGAGCAATTTCTTAATTTTTGCACACGCATGAGAAAATCTGAATATTTGGCTTGAAAACAGTTTAAAACAGCAGCCCGAGAAATGATAAACTGAAACTGGAAGAGATGTAATTCACGTTGCTTCTGGGTTCAGCGATCAGAGGGGAGATGAGCTGCTGTATGTGTGCTGATCTCCCTTTGATCAAGGTGCACAGACCTGCCGTTCCTGACCTAGGCCCACATGGGTAACAACAAAGCCCGGGATAGATGGCAGACACTCCCCCTGCTCCATACAAGTGATCGGGCGGTTCTATAGTAACCCAAATCCTTGTATGTGACAGCCATATACAAACAGCATTAAAGGAGAACTATAGGGTTAGGGCTTTTCCCCATAGTTCTCCTTAGGGTAACGGGAGGACACAAACTAGCGTCCCCCCGTCACCCAAAGCAAAAAGATGCGTTTTAACACTCCCGCCCTCCAGCTGTGCTTTAACTACAAATCCCAACATCCCTTTGCCTCTGAGAGTCATGCATGTAACTGTCAGTCTTGCAATGCCTCATGGGATTTGTAGTTCCAAAACAGCTGGAGGGCATAAGTTGCCCACCCATGCTTTAAGGTCGGCTTGCACCTATTCCTGCAATGCATGTACAAAGGTACACGTTCAGTTTACAGATCTGCGGTTTAGTTGATATGATTTACGGCCACTAAGTGGGGATAGAATACACATGGCGGATCATCCCTGAGAACAAGTTTGTGTCATTAGTGCACATGTCACATGTTTCTATAATATACAATGAGGTGCAATAAATCCCATCTACCAATCAGAGGTGACTCACTGACTGGCTGTCATGGGATTCGGTGAACCACAACAGGTTTACTACATGCATATTTAAAAAAAAATATATATATTTTGTTTCCTCCAAATGATCACATTTTACTTTTTTAATTTTCTAGTATTTAAGTGAGAATATAAGGGACAATGATCGTCCGCTTTTCAGCATATCTCCGGTGCTCAGGGTTCCGAGATCCAATTTCTGCTTGATCAATACAGTCATTTTTTTTTTGAAGCCCGTGGACGTGCATCAAAACAAACTTCCCCCTGTGAACAAAAAAAGTGAACCGTGAAATCACAGCACACAAAAACGTGCACAAGGGTGCAAGGTCCTTCCAAAGAAGGGACCTACTTTCCCGACCCCCCGGGGCGCAAGGCTCCTGACAGGGGTTGAGACTGTTGGCCCACCAACCCGAAGGCCGGTGGACAATTTCTGTCGGGGACCTGCCGAAACAGGTCCCTCACAGTACTATTCAGGAGGGATCTCCCGAAGAGAAACCCTCCTCCTGGGTGGGAGGAGACAGAGAGCCCCGTAGGAGGCACAGAATCTCCTCCCAGCATCAGGAATAGGCCCCAAAGAAACCTGCACCTTCAGCATCTGTGGGTCAAACAATGCTTTTAAAAAAAAGCCAATCGTGCATTGTGCATTAAGTGCAATAAATAATAAAGTGCCAGTGCACCACGCCGACAGGCTTTAGGGGCCGAGTGCAAAAAAATTGCCCCGGACTAGCCATAAGGCCTTTCCGAGAGAGTGCAGAAATAAGCAATGTGGTGTGTGACCGAGTGATCAGTGAGTCAAAGTAGGGTCCCACACCCAAGTGACTTCCTGAGCACCCCTGGGACGCCACCCCCAGGGGGCACAACACCACGGGCTTCTGCCGCCCCCAACCCTCTAGCCTCGAACAAGCTTCGTATCCATTCCCCTCAGGAGGCAGTTCACCTTCAGAGATCCCTCCGCCGGACCCCACCCATCACAAGGGTCGAAAACTCAGAGGGCCTGGAACCTCATCCGGCTCCCTACCAATTACGCCAGGAATTGACTAGGCCGTCCATCTACCCCACACAGGTGACAGCGGCCGTTCTATTCCCGACAACTGATGAGAACAGATACTACACTTGATCTTAGCCAAAAGGCTGAGAAGCTTGATCCATACAGTCATGACCCAAAACAAGTGGCGGCTTTCCCGCTGTACATTTAGCTCTGGTTGCCAAAGCCGGACTAAATGTAGAAAACAATACCCGCCTGGAACTGCATGTCCCAGGCAGCAAGAGATAGGAGTTTTCCACCCCTGCTGCCCCGTGGCCGGGCCTTGGTTGGCCTTGTGTGAAATCCGCCCCTGGGTGCTTTGATGAGATACCAGATAGCGCCATCAGTAAAACAGTCCACAATACAAGGTATCACCCACACACTATTGTAGGAAAACAAAAATATGACATTTATACGCCACCAAACTAGGGAACGTTTCGGGGCTACTGAGGGCCCTTTCCTCGGGCAGCAGTGTCCTCTATTTTTTATTTCAATGGTGTGTAGGTGATACCTTGTATTTTATCTGACATCTCACCAAGGCACCCGCCATTATTGTGATGGCACATACAGTATATCGATGCTGCCTCAGAAAGGGGGCCTCAGTGGCCCCGAAACACTGCTTTGTTTGGTGGCGAAGAAATGTCCAAGGTGTTCTGGGGACCATTTGTATTTCTGACTGCGGAATGATTTGTATGGAAAGAGCGTTCTACAAGCATACATGTTTGCGCCAGGCTCCAGTGTTTATTCATTTTGGAGAAGGG